TTCTATTGCTTTTTCATTCTTATTTTCATCAAGTGTAATTAGTATTAAGTGATAAAGTTATCATATATATTTATGCTGATTATCTTTGATTTTGTGATTGTTTATATAACTCTGGAATGGCAAATGAAGACAATATGGTTGATGACAGAAATACGGAATATGATGAGAGTGGTGAAAACTTTAGCAATATCACAAGAGATGAAAATGAGCCAATATGTCAAGATGGTAATAATGAGGAGGTCGAGGCAAATGAAACTGTTATATATGAAAAATGTTCATGTCTTGGGATGGAGTTTGACTCTCATGAAGAAGCATTTGACTTTTACAATCGTTATGTTGCTAACATGGGTTTTAGTGTTTCAAAGAGCACGACAAATAGACCTAGAATTACTAAGGAGATTATTGGTCGTACCATTTGTTGTTCTCTTGAAGGCAAGAGAGGTTTTAAAGCTAAAACATTTGAAGAAAGAATAAGAAATAGAGCTGACACAAGAACAGGTTGTAAGCCAACAATGGTTGTTCGAAAAAACAAAATTGGAGAAACATGGTATGTGACTAAGATTACTGAAGCCCATAACCATGCCCTTGTGACCCCTAGTAAAAGGCACAAGCTTCGTTCTCAAAAGAGTATAGGGTCTGCCCAAGGACATATCATGAATAACATGCTTATAGTAGGAATTAGAACGAATCTTATGGTAAGTTTTTTAGCTAGTGAAACGGGAGGTATTCAGAATTTTGGCTTTACAAAAAAAGATGCAAATAATTATTTAACTTCATAACGACAAAAAGAATTTGCTAATGGTGATGCACAAGCTGTACTTGATCATCTTCGACAATAACAGATGGAGAACCCAGTTTTTTTTTTTACACAATACAAATTGACTCTGAAGGTCGAATGATAAATTTTTTTTGGGCTGATGCAAGGGCTAGGATGGATTACCAATACTTTGGTGATGTCGTGTGTTTTGATCCCACATATGGAACGAATAGGTATGGCATGCCATTCGTTTCACTTGTTGGAATCAATCATCATTATCAAACAGTATTATTTGGTGGTGCATTATTATATTCAGAGACAAAAGAAAGTTTTGAGTGGGTTATGAAATCATGGATGGTAGCAATGGATGGTAAACAACCAAAGGTCATTCTGACAGATCAAGAATCAGCTGCAGGGGCAATCAAGCAAGTTTTACCAAAAGCCAGACATTATTTTTGCTTGTGGCATATAGGGAGAAAGAAGCATTTGGCGCATGAAATTAATTCGCAGCCTAACTTTTATTCGGATTTTAACAAGTGCATCTATAGTTATGAGCCAATTCCAGAATTTCAAAGTAAGTGGGATGCGATGATTGAGAAATATGATTTGAAAGAAAACAAGTGGTTGATAACTTTATTTGATAAGCGAGAAAAATAGGCATCAGTTTACAGGCATGACATATTTTGTGGAGGTATTAAAATTTTTTACTACCATGTAAAAAATTGACTTCTTATATAGGTTTTTTTCTTAAAATTTGTTTATTGTCCTATTCAAGCATTTATACTCTGTTTAATTTCTTTTTGTTGCTACTTTTATTAACTTTTATGTAGGCATGTTACAACTCAAAGAAGTGAAAGCATCAACTCTTACTTTGATAAGTATCTGAAAAATGGAATGCCACTTTTGGAGTTTATGAAACAATATGAAAGAGTTGTGGTTGATAGTTGTGATGAAGAAAATAATGCAGACTATGATACCATTTATTCAAATCAAGTTTTGAGATTTTCTAAAAATTAAGAAGGAAGCGACAAATATTTACACAAAAACAATCTTCAAGAAATTTCAAGAGGAACTGATTAAAGGACTTTTTTTACCGCCATAAAAAGGTTGAGGAGGATGGAACAACATTTGTGTATAAAGTGTGGATGGAAGAATATGAGCACAAAGTACGTATTGTCACATTTCAACCTACTAGTACAAATGTCAAGTTTAGTTGTCAAATGTTCGATTTCTCTGCTTATTTGTGTAGACACACATTGAAAATTTTTGCAGTTGAAGATGTTCAAAACCTTCCAGAGCGGTATATATTGATGAGATGGACAAGGGAACCAAAGTCTAGTGCAGTTGGGTTTGGAAAAGATGAACAGATTCAACTTAAATTGAAGGAAAGTGCCACACTTAGATATTCCAAACTTTGTCAAAAGGGGGTTAATATTGCATCTAAGGCCTCACCTTCTGATGTGGTGTTCAAAGTGGCAATGAAAGGTTTCAATTGTACTTTAAGAAATGTTGAAGCCGTAATAAAAAAATTATCACTAAATATGGAAGGGCAAAATGAAAGTGATGGCATTACTACAAATGTAGCTTCTCCATATTTAGATGATATTCACGAGCCATTGCTTGATCCACTCATTATGAAGAACGAAGGTCGACCTCGAGAATTTTTGAGCCTGATTGATAAGATCAAGAAAAAGAAGACAAAGGCCAACAAGAAAGGAGTTCAAAAAAGTCAAAGGCAACAACCAAGTAACCTATATCATAAACAACTGACCTTTTATGTGTACAAGCTTACATATACAATAACTTCTAATTTTATTTATGTGATCATCTGTTTAGATCAAAAATTTCTCGTAAAGGTGTTCACCAAAGCAGCGGGCGATTATCTACTCCAACTAAGGTAACTAAGCTTATTAGGAATTTTTATAATTACTTTCATTAGGTAGTGACTATAACAAATACTTCCACATATATCAATATATCATGGATACCATGCATTATTATAAAGTTCGGATCAATAATAACTAAAAAGCTATCTCATCTGTTCTGATTTTTTTTTTCTCCACGTAGGAATCTATTCTAATCAATCCTGATCATACTAGTGAGAACCCTATCTTTGATCTTAATAATTTTCCCCAGGTAAAAATTTCATTACTTGTTGTGAATAGATTTTTGAATATTGTAACTCTTCTAACACTACAATTATTTTTTATTCAGGATCCCTTCATCTAAATTTCAACATTCAGTGAGTGTGGCAAAAGAAAAGTCGTTCATTTTTTTGTCATTGGTTACTAGTTATTCACGCTTTCACAGCTCACAATCTCGTTGTCGTTGGGGGTAGGGGTGAGCACGGTTTGAAACCGGGCGGTTTCAGGTGGAACCGAAAACCGAACCGCATAGAACGGTTTCTGAATTTTTTAAACCGGAACCGAACCGCAAGACCTTAGGAACCGGTTTCAAACTGAACCGATTTCTACGGTTTGGTTCGGTTTGTTTCTGCGGTTTGGGCTTTGGGTCTGCAATCTAAATTTAAGTTAATATCATTTAAGTTTTTGGCTTATAAGTATAATAGTTTTGATCAGGTGGTGCATAATGGATTAATATTAATTTAAGTTAGGTCTTTTTACTTTATATAATTCGGTTCGGTTAACCGACAAACTTTAAAAATAGAAACCGCAAACCGAACCGTATATACCGGTTCCACCAAATTCAAAACCGCAAACCGAACCGACACCTATAGAAACCGGCCAAAACCGAACCATATGCCTC